CAAGGGGGAGCATGCGGAGCTACGGAGCAACCCGTGAAGGGTCCACGGCAGCACAACACTCACAATGTCCCTACGTGAATGTTCAGGGTAATTACTGTGTAGCCTAAAAATGATTGTACCTAGAACTGCGTACAACCCCATAATAGGCCCCCAAGATCCCTAAGATGATTCTTTATGCGTTGCAAGTACCACTTATGCTTGGCTTATAATTACCCTGCACCTCCAAGTATGTCCTATCCCAGGTTCGGAACGTTTGGTTCAAGATGCAAAAGCCGCGCTCTTCAGACAAGGAGCATCTTTGGGCACAGAATTGTGAAAAAGTCGATGATCTTCCTTAGTCTGACCCTACACCCTACGTCATCAAACTTATGTAAATAGCGAATGCCAACGCCCTTACTCTGGGTTATGAGAGCCGAGAAAGTTTTATTTAGAATCTAAACTATAAGCCCTGAACTGGGTTATCTGCACATGATAAGAAGGCTCCCACCTCTGGCCATTTAATGGTGATATGAGGTTCCCAAAATTAGGGGTACCTTTGTTAGGAGGCCCCATGATAAGGATCATGGGAATTTCCGCAGCCTAGCAGCCGCTATGCACTCCCACATGTTTGAGAAGTTCTAATGTTTGCTGGCCACAGTGTGTGGACGAGAGGCCAATGAAGCGGAACACCCGCAACTCCTCAGCAACCAATGCTCCGAGCAGCAGTCGGGGTCCATTTATGGGTCTAGTGCCCCTTAAGTAGATAGAACATGCGGCCAAAGCATCCCAAAGCTATATTCTATCTACTTAAGGGGGACTATACCCTAACAGAACTGCGTGCCGAGAACAACCCATTTATTCATCAGCCCTTTCTCAGCGTTGAAAATATTCAGCCTGTTGAACAGATCGCTTGCAAAATCCTGCCCCGGGCAACGAATGGAATGAATCAATGCGGAGAAAGCTTCTATTGACAAATGATTCGCTCGAGAACGTTAAATGCCTGCCCCCCCCTTTTTGGGACAACCATACAAGCTGGGTCATAGCAGGTAGTTGGCAGCATCAGGCAGTAGTATCCACATGTGACTACCGGAATCTTCGGGAAGAGCGAGCCGCAGCTACTACCATGGGGATCTATGGGGTTTCCATCAACAGGGGCTCAGTAGTGTAGACCCCAATCCCAATATATACTTTAATGCCAAGCATGTGGACCCCCAAATTGGAATCCCCCCCTCCCCCCTGGAGATCTGATAAACTCAAGCAAGGCGTCTGAAACGCACAAAGTTCATCTGCCACTCATCTTGGAGCCCGCTTCCCTTCTTCCGAAGCTCCTCTCCGTCACTGCTTCACTGAGGCAGTAGCTGCAGCCGTAGCCAAAGCTGCACTTGCAGCGGCATTAGTTTCAGGAAAGAACGAGGTAGAAGTGGTAGTTTCAGTAGCATGTAGAATTTGCAGTTCATTTTGTGATGGCGTGGGGCGGGCGAGGTGGTTCGTCGCCGTCGCTGGCGGTGGTGGAAGGAGCCGCCGCTGCGGCCGACGACGACTCGGACGATGACCACCACCACTTCACCACCGTGAGTAGGCAGAGTGGAGAAGAAGTAGTTCATGTCATTGTCTTCGCAGTACCAGTAGTGGCCATAGCACAGCAGGGCAAAGAAGCAAAAGACAGCAAGGAGTGATTTAAGTTCGAGGAGTACTGCCCTCAAAGGATTAACAGTCAAAGCACTGCCTGCAGGCATCCTAGCACTACCGCTACGTCCATGCCAGCAATTCCCAGACAAGCAAGCCAGCAGCAGTAGGTAGCGGAATCCAAGACAAGTCCTTCAAGTTAAGTTACACAAACAGACTGTCCTCCCAATCCGTCTCCAGTATCCAGGGCTCTGCTGCTGTAGGCACTCCAGTCAGCAAGGCCAATATGTCCTGAGCTGTCCAACTGAGCCAGGCGGCTTGCCTTTTTGGCCGCTCCTCAGCTCACGCATGAGAGAAACATGTTCTCCAAGATTGAGGTAGGAAGGCTGATTTGGGAGGCCCTCTAACAGGCATTATCTATATTTGGGTCTACAATATGTTTTTTTTCAGGTACCCTATGCGTGCAAGATCCCCACACCAGCCACTCAGCCCCACATCGTTTTTTTTGCTTGCACGCACCAAGTAGAAGAAGCATGCTCGGCCTTGAGCCAGCGGCGCTCCTCACCTAGAAAACGTTTGTGCTCTGATCCTTGAAAAAAGGGTGCACCTGCCTCTGTATATGGCCATTTCTTCAAGCCGGGTAGTCCCCTTTCTGGCATAGAAATACTCACGCGCTTGCTACAACTAATTAACACAAGATGCACCCGCACTTTCAGAAATGATCCCGAGAAGAGGATCAGTGAATCTTGAGAAACTTCCATATGCTGGCAGGCACCGTCAGCCATCACTTGCATCAGCAAGGAATGTCCGAGAATGCTTCAAGTGAACCCCAGGCAGAATAAACAACCTCTTGTCCTTTGTACGCCTCGTTTGTCAAGGCCCCTGCGATCAGATCTAGCCAGGGCTCACACCAAGTTCAGAAATTTATCAGACATGCAGCCTGGAAGAGGACTCGGCTAGATGCAGCCAGCTGCAAACTTGCATAAGCAAAAAAGGCAGAAGCGGCAAGACAGAGCCGCCAACGGTCTAGGGCCCAGAGATTGTTTGCATTGCTCGCCGAAAGGCCTTTCTGATAAGGGATGTATTGGCATAATACCCCAAGAATGGAGAATCAAACGGAAACGGTAAATGAACTGGAGACTGGGATTACAATGGAGCCGTTTGTGGCAAACCCGACCCTCAAGATTAGGACCCTATAACGATGTTCTGATGGCTCTTCTAAGAGGCTGATATGGGGGGCTGGGGTTACCAAAACATTCCTGAAGCCCTATACAAATCCAGTGCCCATTTCTGTTTGCAGTTCTTCTCCATTTGATTCTGCGCTATTTTGGGGCTTGGGGCTGCCAACGTCACCTTATTACTGTCTGCAAGAAGTAACCGGGAGTGAACCTCTAAAGTGTAAAGCGTGTGTGTGCCAGGATGCCACCTATACCGGTGGCCGAGAGCATGGTAGGCACAATATACAGGCCTACATTAATTAGAATACGTTTTTGAGACATATGATACGGAACATATGCAGGTAAGGACCCTAAACAAATATGTGATGATTGCACTTATTCCGCACGTTCTCAAGTTTGAAGTAATAGCGTAATCAATGATAATCAATGATGATTGTAATCACCAAGGACTGCAGTGTAACAAGTCCTAACTGGCATGCTTTCCTACCTAGAGCGGGAACAACTTTGCAATGTGGGTCAGAATCTGTGTGCCCAGGAATCTTGCGGCTTCTTCCGGATCAGGTCCTGGCGGTTGCAAGTGCACATTCTTGTCCTGGGGTTTGGGGTGGCAGAAGCCCAGAGTATGGCAGGGACCTTAGAATCTAGAAAGATCCATCTTGACAGGTTTGACACGCAAATTGGCACCCGGACCTTGACGCCAGGATCGCGCACCGCGCCGATCATGCCAATATCAGCAGAGGGCGTGTCGCACATCATCGCCTCGCGGCTGTACCCTACCCTAGCTAGAAGCAGCAGCGGCAGAAGCAGCAGCAGCAACGGCGCGAGTTGTAGTTTTTTGCTGCGGCAGTGATTAGATTACAGAACAATCCTGATGGGGGGGTCTTCCAAAAGTGGTAGCTGCAGGAGTACTAGTAGTAAGCGGAAGAACAAGTAATTCGAGGTGGTGGCGGCGGCGGTGGTGGTGGCGCTGGTAGTGCTGGTGGTGGTATGTGCGATAGAGGCTGCAAGCAGCTGCTGTTATTGCTCACACGTCTTCGTCTCAGCAGCCATGGCTGGGTTCTAGCCACAAGGCTTCCTAGACATGCTGCTGGGGACCCTACATGCCATTTCCTACACTTTGAATCCTAAACCCTGAATCCTAAACCCTAATAAAAACCCTCAACTGTAAACCCTGAATCCTGATCCCTAAACCCTAACCCTAAACCCTACAGCTAAACCTTTACCAAGAAGAGCAACCCACAAGCCAGCCTTGAATTCTTCGAAATCCAGATCCCCGTCTCCGTCCTTGTCGTTCTTACTCAACACCTGGTTTAGCAGGTTTACCTAAACCCCAAAAGTATGTAAAATAATGGCCCTAAAGCCATATCAATAGTCATGAACGCCATTATTTTACATACTTTTGGGGTCCAGGTAGGGGTTAGGGTTTAGGTTTTAGGGTGGCTCGGGGTTTAGCCGAGCTGCCACTTTCGAACTCGATGTGAGGATGTCATGGCATGCTCATGCCAAGCACTTAAGAAATTCCTTCCGTCCGAAACCCGGGAATCTACCTGCAGTAGATGTTCAAGCCCCATGTGTGGTCACGGCTTCTGCAGCGCAATAAACGCAACTCTTTATGTTAGGGCAAGTGCTCTATTTTCAATGATGGGATGGCAGCTGCGCAGGTGTTCGGGGCGTTAACTTACTAACTGAACCTTGAACCCTAAAACCTGAGCCCTAAGCCCCAAATCCTGCACCCTACCCCCTAAACCCTGAAGCCTAGCCCTAAAACCTCAACCCTAATCCGGAAACCCTGAACCCCAAGCCCTGGACCCATGAACGCTAGGACCCCCGGAAGCTCAACCCTGAAGCCTCAACACTCAACTGCAAGTTTAAGGTTTCAAGGCGTAGGCCTCATTTTCAGGGATTGAAGCTTAGGGTTCAAGATTTATAGTGCCCCTTAAGTAGATAGAATATGGGGTAAATGGGGATCTTATTATAATGTACCCAAAGCCACATTCTATCTACTTAAGGGGGACTATGGGGAGTCAAGCCGGACTCAAGGGGAGCCTTAAAGAATGGAGGCTACTTGACTCTTCAAGGTGTTTAGGGTTTGAGGCTTGCTGGTGCTTGAAGGGGAATAGTGGTGGGAATGAATACAAGTGCTATCTAGAAATAATTAGTTACAGGGATCCGCCCCCACTCACCCTAAACCCTAACCCCTGAACCCCAAACCCTAGCCTCTTCAATGGCTGGGAAAATCCTCATGTCCATAGCCAGCTCCTCAGAATTCATTGCTTGTTGAAGCTCTTGGCGGTTGATCTTGCCATCGCCATTGGAGTCGAAGATGCGGAAAACTGCCTTGGCTGAAGAGGCAAGGTAGTTGGTGTCATCAGCAGGGGTATCAACAATGTTACTGAGCTCGTAGTTGCTGTTGCTTTACGAGAAATCTGTTTACAGTGGCTGCATGAACAGCATGAGGCTTCAAATTCTATAGCACGCCGCCACTTTTTGTCGATGTTTGCAAGCAGGCTCAGTCAAGCAACCTTCTAGCAGGACGCTACTTACTGGAATCCCCATGCAGCGTCCACCAAGAAAACACAGCTACCGAATGCGCAAAATATTACTATACCCAAGAACCCTAAACCCTAAACCCTCGGCACACAAGGCCCCCTCCTATACCCAAGAACCCTAAACCCTAGGGACACAAGGCACCCTCCGTTGCACGCAGACAAGAGAGGACCCATCTAAAAAGGATCCAGCAAGCTCTCCATGATTTGAAACAGCTTCTGACCTACATCTAAGGAGTGCAGACCCTAAACCCTAAACCTTAGGAGGACCCCTCATCCTGTAATAGCAATCATAGGAATATGAAAGGACCCTAATATTACCCTCGTTGTCCCCCCTACTTATACTCACTATTACCGGGATGGGGGGGGGTCCACCTAACATGAACCTAAACCCTGAATGACGTACTCATAGGCCAGGATGCCAAGCAAGAAGCGTCAGTCGTGTAGTGCTTCCTGTCCTCTATACCAAAGAGGTGGGACGGTTTAGGAAAGGTTTAGTTTAGGGCTTTGGCGCAAGAGGTTCGCACGCGGAAGCCGTAGCTTCCAGGCTTGAGGTTTCAACTGGGTTGCTGTTAAGGAACTTAAACTAAGTTACCATAATGAGTCCATAATGGGTATATGTCGGTAAGCATGGTTTCCCTGATATAGTAGCTTGAATTAAGTTCCTTGACAGCAAGCCAATGAACTCATGTTTGCCAGAGCGTTGGGGCTGTATCTTGGCAGGTCCCCTAACACCACATGTAGCGCGATCACATGGATGTTGCCATTGTACGCATTATTTCGAAGTGCAAGCCCAAGTCCTGAGCCTAACATCAAAACACGCATTACATGGGCCCGGAACCCTAAACCGATGATTTGGGATCCATCTTTGGGACTCTCTGTCTTTGAGCTCTCGAATACGAAGAGCTTATCCTAAACATCGCGAGCTTCTAGGGCCTACATCCCAAACGCAACTTCGGGAGACCCTAAAAGAATGGCGTATAAGGAGGCCCCGTATTAGGAAACCTTAGGAGGCTTTAGGAAGGCTTAGGGAGGCCTATCCACATGGAATCTCAACCCCTAAACCCTAAACTCCAACTTACAATCCCCTAAACTCCGACTTAACTTCTTTAAGATCTACACCCTGAACCCCTAAACACCCCAACTTCAGCTCCTTAGCCAAGGCCTGAATCTTTAGGCATGGTCTGACTGACTCAAGAAGAAATGAGTAGCGTTTTTTTTGGTGGTTGAGCCTAGTAATATAGGGATACTGGAAAAGAAAATGGAAACTACTATATTGTAATAGGGTATATATTGGGGTTATATTAGGGTTATATTGAGTAGCATTTTTTTGGTGGTTGAGCCTAGTAAGATAATATTCCTCATATAAAATACTATACCCCAAAAGGAGGATATAATCTTACTCTATATTGGGTACTATAGTATCCTCAAATAAAATACTACTCAAATGGGACGGCTCAATGCCAACCCAAAAAAGTGACCGAAGCCTTCTTTGGTCATCATTTACCTTAGGATTTAGGGTTTAGGGTAGTGGGGTTTTGCTCGAGTACCCACCCCCCATTGGCCCATTGATACTGCGCTTCGCCCTCTAAAGTTCTGAGCTTTTTTTCAGAGATTCCCTCAAGGAGTGGAATGGAAAAAACGTTGCACCTACATCCTAAACCCTCAGTACCTTATGGTACCTTTCTTCCCGACTGCTAAATACCAAAGACACCCTAAACGCTGAATCCCAAGAAGTCAACCCTGTCCAGCATGGCGGCGATAAACTCGTGGTAGGAGATGCTATCGCTCCCATCGGCATCCAAAATGTCCATCAACCTGGATGGGTTTAGGGCTTTAGGGTTTAGACACGCGCATCGCTCACAGCAAGCAAGGCAGCAACTGTCCCGACGGGCGTAGGGCTTCAGGGTCTAGGTAAGTATAATCCCCTCCCTCTACTATTAAATCACACCCGATTAAAATTAGGTTAAATATGGGGGGGATGAGTGGTAGTGTGAACTCTTCACTATAACCTGCCAGCATGGGGATCAAGGCTACAACTGTCGCGTGGGAGCATGCGAGGACGATTGGTGAACGCACGCTCATGCGCAGCATGTTGAACTACGAGACAGTAGAAAATGCGAGTATGATTTCCGTGCTGAATCTGGCAGGCACAGCAGGATAGTTTTGAGTGTCCTTTGACAGGCCTCCCCCTCCAGATTATATGTATATATACGGAAAGTAACACATTACGCGCCCCATATTTACAGCACTCCTGGTTTGAGCTGTTTTGGTTCATTTGAGTACCATTATATGCTGCATACTATATATATATATGCAGATGTATCACGCTGCATGAAATACGGGAATATTGGTAGGAGTTGTTTTCATATATCTAAAACTAGGATTGAATGGTATGGCTATGAAGGCAATGGACCAAAAGGCCAG